GGAAAGAGTCATCAAGCTGGAAATCTTTGAAAAGATGCCATTTTGGAGAGCTGACCCAGAAAATGAAGCTAAATTTACCCAGATGTTCTTATTTCAAAAAGCAGATTCTGGTGAGCAGATTAATATATCTGGATCCGTCCAGGAATGTCTGAACCAACTAAGGTGGGGGAGGGGATGTCAGCTCGTGACACCAATTAACAGGATCCAGTTCACAGAAGACCAAGCCGACACAGCACTCAAACAACTGAAGGAGCCGTGCAGAGACAGGAAGGAAAGTCCTGGGTCTTCAGGGAGAACTGGCAGATTCCCTCCTATGTGCAGGAACTCTGAGCTTAATGGATTCCCGCACCTCTGAACTTCTGGGTGGGATTCTGACTAAAGGCAGGGCGAGGGGTGAGATCATTTTTTTTTTTTTAACTACGGTAGAATACACGTAACATAAAATTTACCAACTTCAACGCTTTTAAGTGTACAGTTCAGTAGCGTAAAGTACATTCACATTGTTGTGCAACCAGTCTCCAGAACTCTTTTTCGGAGATGAAACAATTTTTTAAAACATGTCTTTCCTAACCACGACTGACAACTCTGTTCTCTCCTTTTTTCCCCCTCGTATAAATAACTGGGGGCTGAGGGGGAGGGAAGGAGAGGGGAGGACCTAGGCAAACGAGGCATCAGCTCAGACTCTAGAGGAGTCAGAAGGAAGGGGCTTTTAGCACAGATGGCTCCATTCAGTCTACTGGGTGGTCAGGGGTTCATCTCCACTATCAGAATGGAGGCTTCTCCACCTGCAGATCGGCCCCTGCCCCCTGGTCTCACGCCCCTCTGTGGTCTGGTCCTGCCCCCAGCAAAGCAAGGGCTTGTGCGGGGGTCCCCCTCACCTTAGACCAGCCCCCTCCCCTCCCCTGCTCTAAACGTTAACTGGGTGGACAGAGCAAATTGGCACCAAGTTCCTCCTTGTGTTCTCTGGAATAAAACGCTCCAACAATGGCTTTCAGTCATGAAAGAAATACCATAAATGGTTATTTACAACATTTATGACATTTGCCATGTGAACAGTACAATCACAGCTTGAAGTATATATTTATCCATGCGTATAAATATACAACTGTGTGTTTCACAGTAGCTAAATGGCTCTAAAATACCAAAGAAATCCCTTGGGCAGAAGAGAGCCTGAGAGACTCCACCCTATCCCGGGGCTGCTGGATGTCTGGGGCCAGGCCAGCTCCTCGTGGAATAATGGAGAGGCAGAGAAAGTGCCTGTCCTTGGGCCCCCGGGAGCAGCCCACAAGATCTCTCCTGGCCAGGGAGGCAAAGCCGTACAGGCACAGCGGTGGTCTGCTCTGTTGCTCTGTCTCCCTCAACAAGGCGACCCCCAGATGGCATGCTGATACCCAGCCCGGTCCTGCTGACCCAGAGCAGCCTGGCGATGGCTCTCACAGCTGTGTGCTCCACTGAGCTGACCCTGCATTTCAGGGGGCTCCCATCAGTCTCAATTTGAAACAGCTCAAACATTTCTGCTTCACGTGTAGCCAGAACAAGCAGTAGCGGTTGCTGCCTGTGGTTGGACTGGGTTGCTGCCTGTGGTTATTTTAATGTGAAGCCACAATACTTTGAAAGCAATCGTCCAATTTCAAATGAAAGAATGGGATGAGAGTGAAAAAAAAAAAAATGTATGGGTTTCAGATGAAGACATCCAATAAGCAAGGGGAAAAAAAACTTCCATTCCTGACAAGCAGGCAGATGTTGGATAATCACGTTTTCACAGCCAAGCAGTTTCATTTATGCTAATCACTATGAAACAGATAAATAACCTCTGCTACTGGGAAGCCCCATGCCCCATCATTCCCAGGCCCACCACAGAAATACGTAAGGAGCAGCCACGGAAAGGAAATAAAAAGAGCTTGGAAGCAAAAACAAAGGCAGAAAAAAGCACATTTGGTGTAAGAGGCAGATTCCATTTAATTTACTTACAACAGAGAACATACAGACATCACGTCTTCAACCATCCTAAGACAAGAAGACAAAGAAAAAGAGAGACAGACAGAAGGAACTGACAAAAAAGATAAATCTGCAGACAACTGGTTATTAATGGGTTAGGCTACAACAGCCATCCACTGCTCTGCTTGGAAGTGTGGGCTACGTCCCAGCTTTTTGGAGAGGGGCTGTCAGAGAATGCCTTCCTCTCTTGGTTCCAGTTATCCCATAAAATGTTGGTGGCTCAAAGAGCTTCGTCACCCCAGTGTAGGATTCCAAGCCATCTGCCCTAGAGGTAAGACCTGGAGATGGGTTAGCTTCCCCAACCTCGGTTAGCTGTCTCTGAGGACAGAACAGAATAGAACCAAGCTATCTGCAGGGGAGGAGGAGGCAGTGGCTACAAACTGGCTCTCGTCCCCAAAATAAGAGGTTAGCTTTGCGATTTGGGCGTTTCAGATTTCTCCGGTTTGAGGCTTAAAACAAAGCTCCCAACAAAGATGCTATGGAATCTTTAAGGAGGGCCTGGTTTGGCAGCTGATCTAAGAAAAGTCCCCTTTCTCGCCAGGACTGTTTCCTCTATCCAACACCGGACAGAGGTAAAGGTGACCCAAGGCCAAAGCCTGCTTAGAGACCTTCTCAGGAAGCCTCGGGTTCTCCTCAAATGTTAAATGCTTGGGGGAGCCCAGAATGAGAGGTAAACAGGTCACCCTATCTCGATTTGTGCCAGGCAGACTCGGAGGGGCCAGCAGCCATGGTCTGTTCTGCTGAGTTGCCGCCAGAAGCCCTGTCCCCTTGGCCTTGTTAAATTATTGACGATACTGCACGAGTGGAGAAAAGCTCCAAGCACCAAACCACCTACACTTGGACCAAAGTCCTGAGGACGGACCGGTAGCCATCCAAGTTGGAGCTGGGTCCTGGGATGAATTCCAGAGGCATGGACACGTAGTATTACGCACAGCCTACTTGGCCAGTGTTTGGAGAGCAGACCTGATTATTAATGGCCTCCTGGGGACCGTGGGGGCTGCTTCTCCCTTTCAGGTTCCACTGACCTTTTCTGGACCTACAGGGCCTGTGGATGCTCGTGTATGAAGATGGCTACGCAGGGGTGAAGACAAACCGGCGTGCTTCTTACACGTTAGCTGGGGTACCGGAAGGGGCCCAGACCAGACCTCTCTCTCTCTCAAGGGCTTCCCAAGCCTACTGTGTTTGCCTCCTGGGCTAATGTCTCCTTAATGGGCAGAAACAAACACTACAAATTTTAATAATACAAGGGCAGATCTCTTAGTTTGGAGGCCACTCCATAAAGCAATTCATGTGTTAAACAGAAAATGCCAAGTCACCAACAGGGAGGCTGACCAGACCTCCACTGGGCTGCTCCCTTTCCATGGATCCCACACTCTCCTGAAGTTGAAAGTCAGGTCTTCAGCTACAAGTAAAGCTTTAGCCCGCTGACTAATTGAGGCAAAAGATCAATGACTCTAGACCCAATGGGATATGTGGACGGGAAAGGCCACCACTGTGGGTGCAGAGAGGAATGAAAGCAGGTATCCTGCCGCAAACACGGTGGCACTGCAGCAAATGGCGGACGGGTCATCCAGGCACGTGAGCGACAACCACAGCCAATGCCCAGCCCCGACTCCGATCTTACCACCTGCACCCCTGAACTTACGTCTTGAGGGGCGCCTTCTTCTTCTTGGCGGGCTTGTTCAGCCCATCCCCGTCCACTCCATTGGCTTCGATGGCACTGGCTGGGATCTCAAAGGAGGCTGGGGATTTAGAAGGTGAGCTGGGGGTCTTAGAGCATGTCTTAAAGGGGTCAGTGGACTCATCACAGGCGTCCGGGTCAAAGTTGTATGACTGTTGGGGCAGTTTGGGAGACTCCTGCATTTTTGAGGTGGAAGAAAAAGGGTTAAAACTGGGGTCATCCCACTTGTCAATATCAAAGGTGTAGGTACCTTTAGCGATAGGGATGTCGTTGGGTTCATCAGGGGATCTGGTAGGCGAGGCAGGAGTGTTGTCGAGTTTTTCGGGTGTTTTTTTCATCTTTGGCCTCCTTAGGGGCATTTTGGCAACCGGCTTTTTGCCTATCTTTTTGGTGGGAGGGGGGTTTTCCTGCTGGGTGTCCCAACTACCCTTGTCCTCAGAATAGTCAAACTCCAGCCTCACTGAGAGGCCTTTGGCTGGGGAGTCCTCTTGCCCCCCACTATCCAATGGGGACACCTCCACCACCTCTGGGGCCGTGGCAGGAGACAATGTTTTCCTTCCAGCGGGGGGTGAGTTCTGCACTCTGCCACCCCCAGAAGCTGGGGGGATGGCCTCTTCTGCACCCTCGGAGTCCAGAGGACAGGCAGCCTTGGGCACAGCAGCAGGTTCTAGGGGTGCCTCCTCTGATAAGGCTGGTCCAGAACCTTCCGTCTTAGCGGATTCCGCTTTTGTCTCGGCTATTCGACTCTCTTCGCTGGGGTCGGGACTCTCTTCGGCTGGCTCTTGCTGTGTCTCTTTCACTGGGGGGGTTTCAGGGGGTTTCTTAGTGGTCTGTTTCTTTTTTAAGGAAGGTGGCCTCGGTTTCTTAGTTCGCTTAAGGGTACTGGAAGCACTGCTCGAACCCGTGCTATGTGCATCTGGGGCCGGGGCCGCGGCCTCGGGATTGCCTGAGCAAGAAGCACCATCAAAGTCACTGGCTTGCAGGCTGAGCGAGCGGGATAACGTCGACTTAGAGATGGGGACAGAGTCTGTGGACTTCCTCCGCGGGCTCACCTTGCAATCCTGATTCTTAGAGTCTGAGGAGCGAGGCTCCAAGGTCTGAAAATTATCCACCAGCTCGATGTTGTCAAAGTCCAAGTTGTAAGTCCCGCTGCTGGCTATCGGCTTGTCTTCATCGAAGACGGAGGAGAAGGAGTGTGTCGGAGGATGGAAAGGACTTCCTTCCACCGAGCTGCTGCGGGGGCCATCGGGGACACAGACCGGCTCACAGCCACATCCTGAGGAAACGGAGACAAAGCCGTCACTGAAGGACACAGGGCACTTCGGACAGTCTCTCATCCCGTGCCAGACTATAACCCTCTAATACCAGAGCCCCAGGTCAACCCACCCACCACTGGACAGGCACGCTGCTTGGGTACACATCCTGCTCTCACCCATTGGCTCCAGGGTCTGGACAAGCTGACCCGCAGCTCTCTCATCTGTAAAGTGGGAGCAATAAGGGCTGTCTAAGGAATAGCTCAAATCATTGTCATTCGAAATACGTTTACCAAGTGCCTGATCAAACAAAGCACCTGTTCTGGGTGTTGGGTATTCAACAATGAACGAAATCTTTGCCCTTCTGGAAGTTACATTCTTTAGGGAGAAGACAGTCAAGAAACAATAAACAAGTAAAACGTATGGACTGTCGGACGGTGACGAGTGCTATGGAGAAAAAGAAAGCCAGGGGAGGGGTGTTGCAATTTTAAAATAAGGCAGCTGGGCAAAGCCCTCCAAGGAGGAAACACTGAAGCCAAGATCAGAAACGAGGTAAAGGCGTGAACCAGGGGGATACCTGCGGGGGGAAGCATCCTAGGCAAAGGAAACAGCAAGTGCAAAGGCCCTGGGGTAGGTGCACACCTGGTGTGTTGCAGAAATATCAGAGGCCAGTGTGGCTAAAGTAAAGGAGAGGATCAGGAAAGGAAGACAGAGAAATAATGCCAGTAAAGCATAGTGAGCCTTTGGTAAATACTAGTTGCTATCATCATCCAGCCTGCTCTTGACTCGTCAGAGCCTTTATCTGGAGGCCCCCGGGCAACTGCAGCAGGACTAAGTTCGACCCGTCTGCCACCTGTCCTGACTCCAGGGATCCCCGTGATCTCTCCCTCCAACCCTGCCTGCCATGCTCCTCTTCTTGGCCTTCCCTCTCATCCATTCTCTCTCCATTTTTCTAGAGTTTCTTCCCCGTTTCTCCTCCCCGCTCAGCCACTGCCAGCCAAGGAGGCTGATCCTTATTTTAAAACATGCTGCGGATGCTCCAGATGCTGGCCAAGAGACATTCCATCATCTCATGACCCCACTGCTCTGTTGGGATGCGGCCAGCCTGGCCTTGGCTTGGCTACTCTGGGCTCTGCCTGCACCAGGCGGCACCTTGCATGCATTTCTGGCTTCACAGCTGTCCTGGGCAGTCAAGATGCCAGAAAACAATTGGCCAGAAAACTGAAAACGTGTCCCTAGACAAAGGGGAGAAAATGTTGCAAAGTGGTCTGCAGAAGAAGGAATTCAAGAGCTGGCACAGGGACTGCCCCGGCGCTCCAGTGGTTAAGACTCCGGGCTTCCACCGTAGGGGGCGCAGTTTCGATCCCTGGTCGGGGGACTAAAATCCCACATGCTGTGTAGAGCGGCCAAAAAAAGAAAAAGAAAAAGAAAAAAAGAGCTGGCACATATATGACCTGGGACGGCATTCCACTGTCAGGAGTTATATCCTGCAGTACCCACCCCACCCCGTGCCGTGGGTTGCCAGATAAAATATAGGATGTTCAGTTAAATTTGCATTTAGGATAAAAGAATACATTTTTTAGTATAAATATGTCCCAAGTCCCAGTCACTCACTGTGTATCTGCGATTCTAATTTAATTGGACGCTCTGTATTTTTGTTTGCTAAATCTGGCAGCCCTAATCCCTCATTCCAACAAACCAACAAGGTTTGAGGAATGCTCACTTATACCCAAACCGGCTTCCTACTGTAGATTTTTCTCAGAGCGGGTCATGCTCACGGCAGGCCACCCCCACGGGGGGGG